TTAGGTCAGAGCCTTCCCAGGACCTGTGAAACTCAAGAGATGACCCCATGTGCTTGACAGGGCTGTGCTGGAAGCTAGACCCAGGAAGATTCTAGGCACTGGTCCTTTGTTTGAATCTGGAGGCAGCTGTACATAAAAACTGGGGGGAAAGGCCCAAAGTTTTTTTTTGTTTGTTTGTTTGTTTGTTTTGGTTTTTCAAGACAGGGTTTCTCTGTGTAGCTTTGCGCCTTTCCTGGATCTCGCTCTGTAGACCAGGCTGGCCTCGAACTCACAGAGATCCGCCTGCCTCTGCCTCCCGAGTGCTGGGATTAAAGGCATGCACCACCACCGCCCGGCAGGCCCAACGTTTTAAAACCCAACAATACCATAAGTGACTTGGGATTCAACTGTGCTTTTCTGTAAACTATTGAGATCTTCCCTTCAGTGTCCTAAGCCGCAAGCAAGCAAGCAAGCAAGCAAGCCTCACTTGAAGAAAATGTCAGTGACTTGATTTATAGATCGTCTTCCACCAGCTGGGGAGGGGAGCCGCTCTAACACGGGCTGATTGCTCCCACTGCCACGAAGGTACGAGAGACTTGACCAGCTCCCTTAACTGTCTTGGTAAGTCACTGCAAATACTAACACTATTCACACTTTAAAGATAGAGAGCCGGGGTGGGAGCCGGGCGGCGGCAGTGGCGGCGCACGCCTTTGATCCCAGCACTCGGGAGGCAGAGTCAGGCAGATCTCTGTGAGTTTGAGGACAGCCTGGGCTACACAGCGAGATCCAGGAAAAGGCTCCAAAGCTACACAGAGAAACCCTGTCTTGAAAGAGAGAGAGAGAGAGAGAGAGAGAGAGAGAGAGAGAGAGAGAGAGAGAGAGAGAAAGCCAGGTGTGGTCATGCACACATGTAATCCCAACACTTGGAAGGCAGAGGCAGGTATTTCTCTGAGTTTGAGGCCAGACTGGTCTACCTAGCAAGTTTCAGATCAGTGAGGGACACATGGGTGAGACTGTCAAAAAAAAAATAGCCAGAGCTTGGCACAACCCAGGAGTAGAGCACTTGCCTAGCAGAGGGCCCTGGATTTATCTCCAGCAGTTCACCCCTGAAAAAAAGAATGAGAGACTGAGACTCCCCGAGATTACATCATGGTGCAAGGTCACAGGGCTGAGGGAGCTGGGCCATTCTGTGGCTCCTCACCTTTCGTGACCACAAGACTGAATGACACGGCATCTAGGTGGCTGCAGTCCTGTGAGTGGTTCAGTTTCAAGCACACACAGGCAGCAGCAAACTCCACACCAGCTTCAGGCTGCTGTCCTTAATCAGTAATTTCACAAGCGTCTTTGTCTGCTCCCAAGAGACTCTGGAGTAAGACCTGGAGATAGTTGAGTCCTGCCTCTTCCCCACTCACACACATACCCATACACACAGACTGTGAAGAAAACTCAGGGTTGGGAGACCTTAGTCTATGTGATTTCCACACAAGCATCAGTCCCTGAATTTGGTCTGCAGACCCCGTATGGCAGCAAACGCTTTTAACCTCAGCACTGGGGAGGTAGAGACAATTAGATCCCTGGGGAGATCACTGGCTAGCCAGCAGCTGAACTGGCAAACTGCAGGCCAATGAGAAGCTCTGTCTCAAAAAGCATTGTGGTTGGCAAGATAGCTCAGCAGGAAAGGCCATTTACTGCCAGACCTGACAACCTGAGTTCAATCCCCAGGAACCACTTAATGGAAGGAGAGAACTCATTCCTGCAAACTGTCCTCAGACACCCCCCCCCCACACACACACAGACCACACACACACACACACACACACACACACACACACACACACACACCACACACCCCACACACACAGACCACACACACACACAAATGTAAATAGCAAATTTTAAACCTAGGTGAAGACACCAGAGGTTGTGGACTTGCCTTCACACACACACACACACACACACACACACACACACACACGTGCACTTGTCACATGAGCACACACCCAGAGCCCCAAGATTGATGAGTTAGTCCCTTCAATTCTCATTGCCGTCATTATGGATGGGAAGTCCCATGGACACGGGCTTGATTGAGGTACAGAGGCCTTTCTGACTTCAATGTCTTTCAGAAACTTTAGTTTTATCTGTGCAGGCTTATAGTAGCTCAGATTTTCTTTTTTCTGTGGGGTTTTCATTTAGAAAACAGAATGTTTTAATTATTCATCTAAGACAAGAAACGTGCAGCCCATGAGATGTTTCCCTCCATAAACTGTAGAAAATAAAATCTAACTCCCCCTGTTCACGTGGTTTAGGGAAATAGACAAAGAATAATGTTCAAAATGATTTAAAACAAGTGCCCAAGTGCTATCTCCTCTGCTTTTCTCAGTCTGGAGGTCCATTACCATCCATCACTCTCCTTTAAGTGACCTGTCTTATCTATTTATTATTGTTTACCCAAATGAACTTCTTCATTGCGCTGTGAATGTGGGTGCTTCCTGCTCTTCAGCTACAGTCTCCATGCAGGAAGAGCTTTTGTCCTTAGCTGCTGTTACAATGCAGCAGCCGAGGCCATCCCCAGCGCGAAAGGAAGCGCAATAAATTCATGATAAACGAGAACATTCTAAAATTAAAACTCCTATCTTTATACATATCTTCTAAAGTAGATTCAGGTCTACAGAAACAGATTAATCACGAGCCTTGGTGAATGGCATGCTCATCAGTGATGGGGCTTTCTCTGGAGCCTTCCCCATCCTCCTGCCTCTCCCTGGCTGTGATAATCATCATGGACTCCTGGGTTTTCTTCCCTTTGTTTGAAGCCATCGCCGTGGAAGCAGAGCCTGTGGCCAGAGTCTTCTGTAAGCGATACCGATACCTTTGTGTGTGGGAGGGGGCGTGGGGGTCTCCAGCAACAAGCAAAGTGGAGGGGGGCGAGGGAGTTGAGCATGAGTGACTTGCTTGGCTCTGCTGTCTAGGGACCCCATCCTGACCCCCCCAGGACATGTGGAGCACATTAATGCCCAAGTATTGGGCCTACCTTGAGGCAAATAATTAACTGTTTGTACCCTTGAACCAGATAGTCAGGAGCCACATTGGAGAGGAGGGGTAAAGGGAAAAAGCATAGCTTCCTAACTGAGGCAGACCTTATTTGGCCAACATCAAGTCTTTAGAACAAGGGAGTAAGCCTTGGGCCAGCCAGATGGCTCTGTGGTAAAGACACTTGCTGCCAAGCCTAAGACCCAGAACCCACATAGTAGAAGGAGAGAATGGATTCCTGAAAGTTGTCCTCTGACCTGCATGGATGGACACACACAGGGGCGGGGGGGAGAGGGGGGGCTTTTTTTTTTTAAATAAGGAAGTGAGATTTGAGCTGTTGGCAGTGAACACTCAAAGCAAGGAGGGAAGAAGGGATCCAGGCAGGTCTGCTAGGTCTTCCCTTAAATAATTTTACCAAAATTTGTGTGTCTTCCTTACATATGTATACATTGCATGGGCATGTCTGTCTGTCCGTGTGTATATGTCCGTGTGGGTATGCAGCTTTAATGCGCTAAAAAAGAAATCCTATTAAATTTTGATTGACTCACAGAAAAAAGAAAATCTGAGCTACTATAAGCCTGCACAGATAAAACTAAAGTTCCTGAAAGACAATGAAGTCAGAAAGGCCTGTACCTCATCAAGCCCGTGTCCATGGGACTTCCCATCCATAATGATGACAATGAGAATAGAAGGGACTAACTCATCCATGTGACCATACCATGCTTTATTTACCAGAGTTCCTACTGATGATCTTTTGAGTTATTTCTAGGTCTTCACTGGGCTAGCCAGTGTTTCTATGACTATTCTTGCAAAAATCTCCCATTGAATCTCTCAGGTTTGCTTCTGGGGTGGAAGTGGTTGGATCATAGGCTTCGGGAGATAGTGAGGTAATGTTTTCCACATTAGTGGTTTTACTAATTCATCTGCCCACCAAGAATGTGTAAGAGACCCTCCTGTTCACATCCACTCCAATGTTTGCATTTTTGTCAACAGAATGAGCAGAGGGTTGGTGCTCATGGCAGCCTTGTTCTGAATGCCCTCCACTGCTAGTCATCCCTTCATAAATAAGCCTGTCAGACATACTTCCTCTTACATGATATGCTTACTCAAATATCTTGCCCAATTTTCCCACCAGGTTATTTATGTTTTCTTACTGATCTGCAGGTCTGCATACATTCTTTGTTGTGTGGATTAGGACTGTTGTGACTTATAATTTGCTTGGCCGTATCTTTTAAAGAACTAATTCCCTTGGTTTTATTCTAGTCACACATATCATTCTTTTTTTTTTTTTTTAATATGGTTCTTCATGCCCTGCTTAAGGAATCTGAAGGAAAATCTCAATCTGAGGGCAGTGGCCAGAAATGGAGCCAGGTTACAGGTGGGTCACAGAGGCAAGCATTGTGTTGACTACAAAGACGTCCAGCTGGCAGGTGTGTTCTGGTTATAGAAGTAGACATATAATTCTATTAGAGCTGGGTGCCATTAAAAATTCTAATCATAGACTGTAATTAACTTTCCTTGCTCTGACGTCTGCTCAGTAAGCAGCCTTCTGATTATAATTTGGCTGCCCATGTATCTTGCCTACAGGGAGAGAATGTACTGAGACTATACTGTTCAGGCGACGTGAGGATCCAATCCATTAAACAGTTACATGCCATGATGTAAATTAATAAATTCGTATTCTGATTTTATCATCTGCCTCATCTGGGCTCGGAAGGCGTGAGTCAGCAACCCCGGGTCTAATCAACACAGAAGCTGTGGATATCAAGCTTCTGGGCTGAAAACCAAGGAACTAGAACCAGCCAGAGTGAAATCACCAAGGTAACATTGCCCCAGAGGCCCCTCTGCCTGATGAAATAGGCCTGTGTACATGTCATGCGATAGGCACAGGGATTAAAATTTACTTTTGACATTATAAAGAGATGCATATTCAAGACTGTGGCTCAGTTCCATTCAGGTGAAAGCAAAGAATAAAGGCCGATCGTGGAGCCATATTGAATATTTATTGGCTTATGAGGACACACCAGATGCTGCCCAAATCCTAGGCAGAGGGTTAAGATTTACAGACATGATTGAAAACAGGGGGAAGAAAAACACAAAAACAAAACCCACAACACAAACGGGGCAGATGGTATGTGCTAAGCAGAGCTCAGGAGGTGTCTGGCTGAGGATGGAGTCTTGTTCCAGGTAGGAACTCAGGGTCCAGGATGCAAAATAGAAGGTGACTTTAAACACAGGAGGAATAAACCGGGAGGCTGAAACACAGGGACAGCAGAGCCCAAGCTGGAATGTCCTGAGGCCCTGAGATTATCCAGGCCATAGGGATGATTTAGGGCCTGTGAGGTGAGGGCAAGATCTTTGAAGTGAGTTCAAAAGGCAGAGTAGAAACGAGGCCGACAAACAGATGGTGCTAATCGAGTAGTCCTGCAGTCTAGCCGCCATTTCATCCCTGATCCTGCTTCACCTATAGGGTAACTGACCCTCTCGAGGATCCCAGTAACGCCAAATACAAAGAGAAGGGGGTAAAAAGAACGGGCATCATCTGAACACTGAGCCTTGTGAGGGACAAGAGCTCCACTGTGTAGTCAAGCCGAAAAAAATAATTAAGAGGAGCCAGGTGTGGTGATGCCCGTCTTTAATCCCTTTAGTGTACTCTGGAGGCAGAGCCAGGGGGATCTCTGTAAGTTTGAGGCCAGATTGGTCTACATAGCAAGTTCCAGGACAACCATGGCTACATGGAGAGACCCTGTCTCAGTAATAATAATAATAATAATAATAATAATAATAATAGGAGTAGGAATAATAAGCGGGATAGAAAGAGCTGGGTACCACTGCTGGAGAGACTGGGGTAGGAAGGATCATTGTTTGACCCCAGGAGTTTTAAGCCAGCATTGGCAACATAGTAAGACCTTATCTAAAAGGAAAACATGTCAGAAAGAGAGAAAATAAAAGGAGTTCTAAAGATTAGAATCGTCTCCCCCAGCAGCTCCCAGAGTTCCCCACCAGAGCCAGATCCCTGACTTGGCTAAATGTAGAGACTAGAGAGCCATCAGACATGTCCTAAAAGTGAGGTAGCCATATGCCACCAGGAAGTAATGACCGTGAATGTAGCCTGCCCAATCATGCATGGGTAGAGAGGCATACCGAAGGCTCAGCAGAACAGCAGGACCAAACACCACACTGATGCAAGCACTCTTCACAGGTCCACCTCCAGGATGTGTGATCTCTAGGGAGCAGTGCTGAAGAGGAGTCAGCTAAGTTCCCTACCAGCCCGGAAGGCTCTGGCCCATGCGTGAAGAAGTGATCTTCTTTAACAGTGGCCTCAGTGGTGGCTTATGGGTGAAATAAGAGCGCTCTCTTTGACTAGTAGAGGTTGTCCCGCACATGCTCCATGATGGTCTTCAGTCCTAGCCAGGTCTCCTCCGCAGTGGGGATGATCTGGCTGGCTGGCAAAAGGAAGCCATAGTGCCCGGTGTCTCTCAGCTCAAATGTGAATGCATACTTAATGCCATTGTCATATGCCCAGTCAATGCTGCTCCCGCTGGCTGGATCTGGAAGTCAGAAGAGAATACCATTGAAGCCTCCTTCCCTGCAGGGTTCCATGGGAAAAGGCTAGAACTCTGCCTGGATGGTGTCATGGGATATTTGTATACTATGTGAAGATGTATTGCTGTGATTGGTGTAATAAAAAGCTGAATGGCCAATAATAGCTAGGCAGGATGTACAGGTGGGACTTCCGGGGAGAGAAAGGAAGAGGAGGAGGAATTGAGGCACTCAGGAGATGCCCTGGAGACATGAATGAGTGGCACACACAAAATGGAAAAGAGGTAAAAGCCACGTGGAATGTAGATTAATAAAAATACGGATTAGGTTATAAGAGCGAGTGAGACAAGCCTAAGCTAAGGCCAAGCTTTCACAATTAATAAGTCTTTCTGTTTGTTATTTGTGAGCTGGCATCCCAAAGGAAAGACTGATTACAGGATGGAGTTCCTTAGAATGCAGAGCTCTTCCTGAAAGTCATCAGGTCCTAAGACACTTGTGTTCAAAAAGGCACCTTGGCTCCATCCATAACGTTTAGGTCATCCTGCACCATGAAGGTCTGTTTAAGCCTAAACTAAGAGATACTAATCCTCATCCCCAAGCCTGGGGAGATGACTCAGTGGGCAAACAGTTTGCCATGCAAGCTTGTGTAGTAGAGTTCAGATCCCTAGAATCCACGTAATGTTGGTGAGGCATCATGGCCCACTTGTAATCACAATGCTCAAGAGGCAAAGACAGTGTCTTGGAGCAATCTGGCTGGCGAGGCTAGCTGAATCAACAAACTCTGGGTCTTGAGACCCAGCTTCAGTAAGGTGGAAAGTGATTGAAAAAGGCAATAAATTCCTCTACATGCATGTTCATATATACGTATACATGTGAACATGCATAAACACAAACATATAATGCATATATACATATGTCAAAAATAGAATCCCCATTCCTATCTTCTCACTAAACCACCGCAGTGTTCCAGGAAACTCAAACCTATCTTGTTAGGGACAGAGTGAGGCAGGCATCTCCTTCAAGCCTCAGTGACCCCTGTCTTCTTGAGATGGCGGCCTATGTCATCCTCCTTTAGACAGAACAAGGCTGGCCTCGTGCCACAGTTAACAGGCTACCACAGAAAGTTGTGGCTCGTTGTCTTTGGTCACTGCTCTGGGGAGGACCAGCTGCCACTGATGTAAGGGTGCCCTGGAAGCCCAGTGAGGAGGCTCAGTGAAGAAATGCAACCTCCTGCCAGGAGTCAGCATTAATTCACCAGGCTCTGGAGTGCCTACAAGCAGACCACCCAGCCCTGAAGTCTGTTACTGTGACCTGGGAACACAGTTTGACTATGACCTCCTGCAAGACCCTGCCCCAGAGCTGTCCACACAAGATGTTCTCGAATTCCTGACTCGCATAAACAGGGTATGAAAATAAATGTTTATCATGTTAAGCTGAGAAGTTTTAGCCTAGTTTTGTTTTTTGGTTTTGTGTGGTTTTGTTTTTTTGTTTTTGTTTTTTTTTTTAAACACAGTAAGAGATAACTGATACACAGGAAAAGGAAAAGCATTCCTTGGAACTTCCCTTGGCAGGAAGACTTGAAAGAGATAGGAGATCTATTTTTCTGCTTCTTCCCAGTCAGACTACTAGAACAGGAATTTGCCCACAAGTGTAAAATGTAGGCGACTGTCACTAATAAAACGATGACAGTCATCACTAATAAAACGATGACGATAGCGGATAGTCTTTTTTCAGCATCTGTTATGAGCTAGTCCTTACATCAAAGGCTTTCTAGTCATGATATCTTAATCTTTAAAATCCAGCAGTGGCCATTACTGCCCTTAGTTTACAGCTGGGAAAAGTCCAGGCGCAGGGTGGGGAAGCAGCTAAGGAAATACAGGCAGAACATGGCAGAGCTGGAATGTAAGCGGTGTCCTTTTAAGTGGTCCATCCAGTCGCCTTGCGGTCCATCTGGTGGATTAGCACATCTGATAATGTAAGCTCAGTCCCTTCCTTTCCCTTGTTCCTGAGAACTGTTTCTCATGGACACACTTTTCTAAAGATACAGCTTCCATTGAGATTGCGTGTTCCCAAGGGAATGGAATGGGCTCTGCTATGCTCTCAGAAATCCTTGTGCGATCCCCACAGTATGTGTGCCCTGAGAAAATGCCCCAGCTAAAAGCAAACAATTCCTAGCATGTCCAATGGTTCTTTAATGATAAACTCAAGGATTCCATACCACACTTAAGACATTGGAAGGAGGCAGAAAGGACTCTGCTTGGTATTCAAAGTGATCATGTTCATAAACTCCACTTTATTTAATTCCTTGCTCAATGTGTACCTACTCTTGCTTGTGTGTATACATATACATGTGTGGGTGCACACATGTACATATGCATGTGCAGATGCGTGTATGTGCAGAAGCATGTGGTGGCTGGAGGTCATGCTCAGGTACTGTTCCTCAGTCCTGTCTACCTGATGTTTCAGAACAGGGACTCCCTGGCCTGGGACTCACCAGCTGTGCTACGTTGTCGCCATCTCTAGCTCTAGCTTAATTGTGCACTACACGATGCCTGGTTTATATGGGTCTCGGGGTCAAATTTAGGTCCTCACGTCTGCACAGCAGCCCCTTACTAACCAAGCTATCACCCCAGATCTTTTAAAACGCACACTCTCTCACGCACACACACGCACGCACACACACACGCACACACGTGCATGTGCATGCAGGGATATACTATTAACACCATTCTACACATTCTATTTTTCAATTATCACTTGACGATCATTCCCTGTTAGTACACACTGATCCACCTAATTCATTTAAGGGCAGCTTAATGCTTCCCTGTATGAAAGCGCCAATTGTGTTTTTGTCTAGCCCTCTCCTAGTGGGGATTTTAGATGCTCACCAGACTTCTGTGGTGATAAATAACGTTGTCACAAACATCCTTAAAACCCATGATTTATCCTAGGCAGATAAGCCCAAGAACTTACTAGATCAGAAGCCCTTAGTAAATCAGAATCAGTGAGGAGAAAAGGAATGAGGTACAAGAGGCAGCTGGCTGAGGTAGAACATGGGCCCTGACAGACTGACAGACTGACGGGGGAGGGACCTAAGACGCTGAGGGACGGACGCAAACCAGTAGGAGGAGTGGGTGGCAGGTAACAGACACCTACGAGCAGATGCGTGAGAACACTACTATGAAGCTCATTATTTTCTACAATAACTTTAAAAAGCATTAATTAAAAAAAAAAAAAAAAGAAGCCGGGCGGTGGTGGCGCACGCCTTTAATCCCAGCACTCGGGAGGCAGAGCCAGGCGGATCTCTGTGAGTTCGAGGCCAGCCTGGTCTCCAAAGCGAGTTCCAGGAAAGGCGCAAAGCTACACAGAGAAACCCTGTCTCGAAAAACCAAAAAAAAAAAAAAAAAAAAAAAAAAGCAGACACAAGACTTAAAGCAGTAACATGGGGTGGGGCTAGTTAGCAGAAGGATCTTGCAGTCCAAAATGACCTATCAGGTCCTCAGGATGTAATAATTAATCTTCAGAAACCCACTCAATGGTGGGGGGGAGTTGACTGAACCCTCTTCCCTATGCTCTGTTTAAGAAGACCACAAAGTGTGAATTTCTTGCATCTGAAATGAAGACTCTTAAGAAAAGTCAGCCGGGCGGTGGTGGCGCACGCCTTTAATCCCAGCACTCGGGAGGCAGAGCCAGGCGGATCTCTGTGAGTTCGAGGCCAGCCTGGACTACCAAGTGAGTTCCAGGAGAGGCGCAAAGCTACACAGAGAAACCCTGTCTCGAAAAACCAAAAAAAAAAAAAAGAAAAGAAAAAAGAAAAGTCAAGCGCTTAAAGGCGCAGATGTCACCCACGGATGTGGCGCAGGCCGAGCCCCTGGTTAGACAGACTTTACCACACAAAAACCAACTGCTCCAGAAAGCAATGGAGGACAGGAGACCTGTGAAGAACACAGGATAGTCTCGAAAGATGTGAAGTTTTATGGCTCTCAGGCACCCTCGGGAGAGCCTTCCTCCTCGTCCGAGGGCATCTGGTGAGTATTCCTTGACTTGACACAGCTCACGCTGGGGGAAAGAATGTGTTTGATGTGGGAGAACGAGGCCATTATTTAAACTGATGTTTGACCCCAAAGCAGGGACCCCGGTGACCCACAAAGATCTCTGGGAAGACCTCCTCAAGGAACTCCTAGCCAGTCTCCATTAGCTTGCTCACTCGGTCCGTGATCACTTCTGGCTGATTAAGCAGAGGGTGGAGAAAGCTCCAGATGTGTCCTCTGAAGAGTTCCCATTTAACAACACTAATAGCAATAAACTATGAATAATTAATGGATTGTTGCTGCAATTAGCAAGACAAACACCAGCATCATGCTAACTGCGCTGTAGCTACACACAGAGAAGAGAGTGCTGAGATCAGAGGCGAAGGTACCGAGACTGTGGTTGCTATGGAGAAGGCACTGTGGAGGGACACACTCCCTTACACGGGAGCAGAACTGCTCTGCCCATGTCGACATTCATGTCTGCCATTTAGGCAGAGCTGTGCAGTATGACATTTCCCCATCACTTGAAGACAGACTGCCAAAATAAGAGAATCGGCAAGACGTCAACAGAAATCCAGTAAAATGCTCAGATGAGACCAAAACAAATATGTCCTCCAAAATGAGGCTATGGATGACAAGCTTTGAGGCCAGGTGAAGATTTGGGGACTTGGTAGATTTTTTTTTCTTTTTTCCTAGGTACTAATCATAGTCAGAGGACTCCCTACCACTTACTCATTCTAAACCCATTATCCCTACCATCCATCTCCCAAGACAAAGCTGGGCAGTTTCCTTTGAAATGGGTAGGGGCCTGGGGAAACAACTCAAACATGAGAACCTGAGTCCGGATCCCCAGCACTCACACAGGTCAAAGCAGACATGGTAGCGTGGGTCTGTAACCCACCAGACATGGTGGTGTGGGTCTGTAACCCATGATGTGGGTCTGTAACTCAGCAGACATGGTGGTGTGGGTCTATAACCCAGCAGACATGGTGGCGTGGGTCTATAACCCATGATGTGGGTCTGCAACCCAGCAGACATGGTGGCATGGGTCTATAACCCAGCAGACATGGTGGCGTGGGTCTGTAACCCTCGTGTAGGTGAACAGAGACAAGCAGATCCCTGCAACTTCCTGACCAGTGAGAGACCCAGTTTCAAAAGATAAAGTAGGAAACAATAGAGATTAGACACCCAACACTGACCTCTGACCTCCACATGCACACATACTTACTTGTACCCACACGTACACATGCAGACAGAAACACACATACAAAAAAGGAGCATAGGCTTTGACAACTTCTTTGATAAAACATGTCACGATCCTTGATACAAATGAGGAATGTAGAGTCTACCCACTGACAGGTCCAACTCATCAAGGGTACATGATAAGCCCAGTATCGACACTGATGAAGATGACTGCCTACAGTAGCCATTTGTCACAAAGTCTTGACATAAACTTTGGTCTGTTACTAACCACTAAAGCCATCAGACAACAACACAGGAAATAAAGCTTGCATCTCTCCTCCCAGCTCGTTTCAAGTTTCCTCCCAAGGTGCTTTCTCAATAACTCACACCCAGGTATACTCACAGACAGTGGTGCAAGTCGGTCCTACTTGGTACTTAGTGCCCGAGTGGGAAGCCAGGGCTTTGGCTGCACTCCTCGCCACGTCATCCTGGGAAGGGATTGGGCAGAGTAAGAGGATGGAGGTGGACAGAGATCAGTGGGCACTCTGAGAGCATCTGTAGTATATACTCTGACTGGAAGAGCTTCGTGCAAGCTTAGTTCCTAAGGCCTAGAGAGCTGCTTGCCAACCTCGTAGGACTCTAGTTAAGATAGATTACTGAGATATCCTAAGGGAGAGGAATGTCATGTTCAAGAACATGACAGAAGGCCAAGTATGTTCAAGAGAAAAGCCTTGAGTAGAGAGCCAAAATCTGGTCCTCATCTAGCCTTGAGTCTGGGTGGGGCTTCTTCAACCCACAGACTGCTGGGCTGGCAGTGACCTGGGAATAGGGTGGTGCCTCAGCAGACCAGCATGGAGGAATAGGCCTGCAGCAATCCTGAAAACGCCGACCCTACTCCTACTAGTCCATCTACAGGTACCTTTCCTATTCCAGGAGTACATCATGGGCTGTGACACAAAACCCCCAGGCTATGACCTATATCCTCCTTCACTTCTTCCCTAACCAGAGAGAAGATGGCACCCTTCTTATCATGGAGTAGTGAACCTGTGACAGGTTCTAGTTAGAAAACCAAGTATACAGGCTGGACAAAGTCTTAGAACTCACTGAAATGGGAGAGGGACTGTCTTCTTTCTGTCCCTAGTGGGTCTGACGGCACCAGCCAAAGGTCAGGGAGGTACTCACTACGGCTCCTGTATTTGCCCTCAAAAGCTCTAAGTCAGTCACCTTGGCCATGCCAAAGTCAAGCTGGTCTGGGATCGGGCAGAAGCCCTCCATCACTTACCAGCTCCTCAGCATCCGGGGCCTTCTTGACTGTGTACCCATAGGGATACATCAGCAGCTGTGAGTAGCTATGCAGGTCAATGAAGCATTTGAAATCCCCATGCTTCTGAATAAAATCCACCACCGACTTCACCTCCACTTCAGAATTGGGGTGGGAGCCATGGTACACTTCAGAGCAAGGGTTATCACTGGCCCCTTCTCCTGCGGAGGAGAGCTGATCAGGAACGAGGAGCCCACAGGCCAAGAAGCCAGAAAGGAGGACTGTACGCCCCAAGTTTGACTGGAATGGTAGACAGGTATTTGTCTAGATGCCCCCAGGAATCTACTCATGGCAGGTACAGATACCGAGGAGGGGACAGGGAAGGGGTTTGGGAGTGGGAGGTGTTGCCACAAATGAGAAGGAAAAGTATTAGAATTTTTTTAAGAGGATAGAGTTGACCTCGTATTGTGCTATTAGCAGTTGTCATAAATAATTAATGTCACACTCAAGAACGAGTTGTAATTAATAAGTGTGCTTGATAATTAATAGGAATACCAATAAATAATGAAAATGACTCCATTTATTCTGGTGTCAACTTCTTCTCTTGGTTCAGGTCTTAACGGCCAACTGCTGACAAACATAATCTATTGTTGTGGTTTAAAAAAAGTCTCTTGATTACTCACCAGGTATTTAGACAGATTGCTTTCCGCATTGTTTCACAATAAACAGGCCTTGGTGTGTGAGTCTGCGTGTGTGCACATGCGTGCGCGTGTCTGTGCATGTGTGTATAAGAGAGAGACAGTCATGACTTAGGAACTGACTGGCTGGTTGGCTGGCGACCATCCTTCAATCATTATTTTCCCTGTGATTTTATGATAATTTCATGATTAAAATAAATCCATTCAATAGTTCTATATAATTAAAATAAATTCAAAACAAAATACTGGGGTGCTGGGGCAGAGCTCAATGGGAGAGGGCTGGCCTGGCACACACAGGCCCTGGATTTGATACCCAGCACAGCAAAAAGTAAAATAAAGTTACATATAATTTATTTTCTTTTGTTTTTGTTTTCAACACTGGGTTTCACACACAGGTTTTACAGAGTCCACATTGGCCTGGAGCTTGAAATGTGTGTGTGTGTGTGTGTGTGTGTGTGTGTGTGTCTGTGTGTGTCTGTGTGTGTCTGTGTGTGTCTGTGTGTCTGTGTCTGTGTGTCTGTGTGTCTGTGTGTTGGGGGCGGGGGGGGGGGTGTTTATTAGTAGGAAAGAACTACTACTGGATTTAAAAGTGGAAGGTGAGTTTATTTGGTGATTTTCATTAGCCATGCAATCTTGAGATTATCCTTGAGTTTCATGAACAAAAATCCATTCGAAGAACAAAATGCATGAACAATAGTTGATACTTTTGTGGGGATATTTTTTTTTAAACGGCTAGAACTCAGGACCCAAGTCACCTAATTCTCACTCACCTTCCATGACTGCTAGCTGCTGGAATTTAAGTTTTGCTACAGGCTCTTGCCTATTAGAGTAACAATGCCAACTGTTCTCTTTTAACTTGCTACCAGAAACTCTTCTACCCAGCTACAATTTGCCCAGGCAGAGCTAGAATGGCCAGGGTTAAGGAGGGGCCTTGGAATCATGCATCTAAGAAGTGTGTGATTTTTAAAATATGTAGGGGCTGAGAAGGCAGCTCAGTAGTGGAGCACTTGACTAGAATGCACAAGGCCTCACCACAGTAAATCAAATAAATAAAAGGGATATTTAAAATTAACATAGTCATAATCACAATGCAAAGACCGTCTGGCCCACTGTTTTCTCAGGAGGACAGGGATTACTGAATCATTCCCTTTCAAAATCACAACAATAAGACTTAAAAACAAAACAGAACACATAGACACAGAGCCTGAGGGATGTCCCAGGGTCTCTCAGTGAATGGAGAAACAAAACCAGAATGGAAACTGGCTCCCTATCCCACGCTGCAGGCATGCGTGGACAGCTTCATCCACTGCCGGTGGGGTTGGAAAGCAGCTCCCCACCTACCTGCGAAGCTTGCGTTCCAGTTTCTGTTTGGATCAGCACCAATGCAGCGGCTTCCTGGGTTCCGGGACCGTGTCTTCCTCCATAATCGGTTCTGAAAAAGCCACCAAATCCTCAGGGGTATGTCAGGATACAGGAACAGTGAAGGGTTTCTCTGGGGGCTAAGACCACAATAGAGGGGTTGAGCTGCATGTGACCCTGCCTGGGGACATCTAGACTCCAGGCTCAGTTGCCTGGGCACTCTGCTTTTGCCCCTCACAGAGGAGATGGTGTATACTTCTGGCTTTAAGAAGGGATTTAGGGCCAGGCCTGGTGACACGCACCTTTAATCCCAACACTTGAGAGGCAGAGGCAGGCCGATCTCTGTAGGTTTGAAGCCAGCCTGCTCTACATAGTTCCAAGCCAATCAGGAATACATACATAGTAAGATGCTGTCTCAAAAAAAATAAAATAAAAAATAAAAAAAAGGACATTGACTCCCTCAAACTGCCCTGATGGGAACTTTCTATATAAGAACCAAGCTGGTCCCATCTGAATGCACTGAATAATTATTGGCTTATGCAGAAGTAGAAGCAATGGCCACTGAAGATCACCCATGCCACAGACATGCACAGGGCCTATTATATTCTAAGACAGTCACCTGAATTCAATCATACTCTCAACCAGGGAATAAGGGAACAAATTAAATCGTACAACAAAGAAGCCATCAGCCAAACGCAGAATGTGAGACATTATACAGGAAATTACTTAGTTTCTCCAACAAATGAATGACATTTGAAAAGGATGTGTTTGGGGGTGCTGCTGAATGAATGAAGACTTCAGAGGCACAGTCGCAGCTACAGTACACAGACCTTATTGGATCCTGACTCCAGCAAATTGACTCCTAAGGGACGTTTTTAAAATAATGGGGGTGTTAGAGGATATTAAAGAACTTCCATTAATTTTTCAAAGGTGACAGTGCTGTGGTGGGTTTGGGTTTTTTATTATTATTATCATCAGCTAGAGATGCATACTAAGGTCGTTGTAGATGAAATAACATGATGTCTGGGATTTGCTTTAAAATATGTCAAGAAAATAAATTGTGTAGGAGAGAAAAAGATGAATAGAAGATAGGTAAAATGTTGAAAATTGTTCAAGACCCACAATAGAGAGTTCCTTAGATTATTCTCTCTAAAATAAATAAATAATATATTCCCTGGTGATTCTCAGCTCAGAGGATGACTAGAAAAAAAAGTCCCAAGGGAGCATCTTACATACAGGTTGGTGGAAATCATCTCCAAGGGCACTAGCAAAATATGGAATCCAACTGGTGAGTTCAATCCAGACCCTGGCCACTTAGAATTACTCACGTGGGTTTGCGTGTACACATATCCATCAGGATTGGCCACAGGCAACAAGAAAATATCCACTTTCTCCAAGATGGAGGTGACAGCTGGGTCCTTTTGGTAATCAGTCACAATCTAAGCAGAGATAACATACTAGTCAGCTACATCATGGCAGGGTAGGTTTGTAGGTCTATCCAGGCGTTTTCCTGAGGTGCCCAGCACCCCGATAATGATGCTCCTAGGATAGTCTCCACCCTCTGAAGCCTCTCTGAAGCAACCTCAGGCTCTCTGAAAAGCCCTCTGAGTCTCTCAAAGCCTGGGGCCAGGACTGCATGACAGTATTGAGTGACAATGACAAGTGGCTGAGGGAGAGGAGACAGTTCTGTTCATTCCTTCCATACACACCGACCGCCCTTCCCTACCAGCACTGGCTCAAACTAGTCTTGAAAGGTCTGGAGGCAATATGAGAACCCAGGAACCCTGCAGGGCTTGGCAGGGGATGAAGGTGAAACGCACCTGAGTTAGGTGCCGAGTGAGACTCTGGTCCCTTTTGCAGGGCCCACAGTGAGTCAGGGTCTCAGGCTCACCTTTGAAGTACCTTAGCTTGTTCACAAACACTGTCACTTAACCACAGTGACATCACTGACAGAGGAGCTTTGACCTTCTCCCATCTGAGAAGATACCAACTTACTAGGTCTGTGCAAAGCACCTTCCTACCTCATCCCCCGGGCCCAGCTCCATGGGATGGATCTGTCCCCCACCCCAGGCCCACCAAAATCCTTGACTAATTCCGGGCGACATGACCTTCCTCGCCGTCCAGATAGCCGTGGCCTGTGAGATCCACTCACGGGAATGGATGCCTGCATTCAGCCAAATGGCCGGTCTCTTCTTGCCTCCTCCCGTGCTGAACTGCAGAAGGGAAAAGGGGCCAGAAAATGACCTGCCCGTCCACAGCTCTCCTCACCTCTCCCCAGCCCGCTCCTATTCATTTAATTCATTTAAGATAATTCAGGGACCAAATGTTCCTGAGGGCACCATCTATTTATCAGGCCTATCCGTGACCTGGGAGCTTAATTGGTTGGCTGCAGCTCTGGGCAGCCCAAACCTCTCCAGCTCTGGGAGTAAATGGAAAGGAGAAACAATTGGTATTGTGGGTCAGAATGCTAGTGCGATTAGAAATAATAGTGTGTCTCTTGAAAGATCTCAAATGGTTTCCCAACAGAGAGAGACACAAGGGTACATGAACCAGACTGTTCTGTTGATGTAATAAATGAATTCGGTTTTAAATTACGGAGAAGAGGGCTTCACTATGGCTCTTTGTAAACAGCAGTAATGAATTCTGCTTCCTGCCTTTGCCATAGCATTGGGGCTCCATGGGTCAGAGCTTGGTGCTAATGAAGGCAGGGTCTCTATCAGATGGGCAAATAATCTAAATGTAATTATTTTAAAGGAACCAGCTCGGTGGTGTGTCTCTCCTCCTGCTATAAACCTGGCTTCTACAAAGCTAAGAGTTTGGCGAATTCTTCGCATCAACAGTTGTTCCACGGTTTTTATGCCCAAATTCCTTTCTATGTGTTCATCTGGATTATTTATGTGATTTATGTCATCATCATAGCTCTCTGCCTCTTTTGCCAATACAGATCTGAATCTGTTAGAAATATCTGGAAATAGGGCTCCATGCAGCCAACAACCTGAGGCTGGGCTTAAAATTACATCTACCTTAATGTAAGCGACCGGGTTCTTTTCTAAGAAGAGGCCCTAAAAGCGGAACGGAGTTCATAGCCTATCCTGACTTGCTAGGTGGGAGTGAAAGCAGACTGTGGGCCTCCGAACAGCCTCTGCCTTGACGCTCTCAGTCTGAACAGAGAATGGGATATGCTCTTTTTGTTGTCGTGGTTTTGTTTTTTTTTGTTTTGTTTTGTTTTTCAAGACAGGGTTTCTCTGTATATTTTTTGGTGCCTGTCCTGAATCTCTCTCTGTAGACCAGGCTGGCCTCCAACTCACAGAGATCTGCCTGGCTCTGCCTCCTGAGTGCTGGGATTAAAGGCGTGCGCCACCGCCGCCCGGCTGGGATATGTTCTTTCTAACAAGCCTACAGGAGATAAAAGCAGGGCATTCAATCAGATCAAATATCTGAACAAGCAAAGATGACTGGAAGCTACAATCTCTTCCTTAGAACCAAGGGGGTCTAAAAAGTTGCCTCCTTTGCAGACCACAGCTGGGTCCTGGAAATTCAGATCCAGAAGTTGGGATCCAGTGTCAAGTTGGGATCCTCGGAAGGGCCTTGGGCCTCACCTTCAGAACATACATAGGCCGCTTTTCAAATGTCTCTCCAATCTTCACTCGGCTTGCCAGGTCAGGGAAATCTGTGGCAATACTGTCCATCTCGTGGTAAATCTGAAGTGTGGAAAAGTGAACCAAGAACACTTTTAAAAAACATTATTTTCTTTTTTGAGTTGGGGTTTTCCTATGTAGCCCACACTAGTCCTGAACTTGGAGTCTTCCTACCTCCCTCTTTCAAAAGCTGGGATAACAGGCATGTGCTACTAGACCCAACTCTATGGTATTTTAAAGTTCTGTTCCATTGTGCAAGCTGGCAGTGTTGGCACACGCCTTTAATCCCAGCACTCAGGAGGCAGAGGCTGGTAGATCTCTGTGAGTTCAAGGCCAGCCTGGTCTACACAAGGAAACCCTATCTTGAAAAACCAAAAAATAAAAAAAATTCTGTTCCATTATGGGTTGGGTGTCTGTGAACCGTATCTTGTCAGTCTTAAGTTTCTTCTGGGACCCTGACCTTGGGGTTGGCCACATTATCAGCATGGAGTGCTTATGGCAGGGAGCTGTCTGAACAACACATGTCAGTAGTCTGCAAAAGTATAGTCCACTTAAGTAAAGCAGAGAGACTTCAACAGATACTGCTCTAAAGTGTGATTCTTTGCATTATCCTGGACTGGATCATCAGAATAGGCCTGCCTACCAAGGCTCTGAATGGCAGAGCTCGCCAAATTGTTCTCCACTAGGGAAAAAAAAATTCACAGTGTGTGTGTCCCACAAAAACAATACAAATAGATTGTTTATAATATAAAATAAGAAAAGAAGCCACATGTGGTATGCCTTTGATCCCAGCACTCAGGAGGCAGAGAGAGACAGGTGGATCTCTGAGTTGGAGGCCAGCCTCATTTATGGGGTAAGTTCCAGGATAGCCAGGGCTACACGGAGAAACCCTGTCTCAAAAAAAATAAAATAAAATAAAATAAAAAATAAAAAATAAAAAATAAATATAAATGCAAGGATGGCTCCATGAATAAAATGTTTGCCATGGAAGAGAATCTGAGTCCAGGTCCCCAGGACCCTCATAAAAAGCTGCACGTGGCGGTGTGTACCACTCTAGTGATGAGGGAGCACAGACTGGAGGATCCCTGCAGCTCACTGGCTAGCTAGTCTAGCTAACCACTGAGCCCAGGTTCAATGAGAGCCCCTGGCTCATAAAAATAATAAGTAAGACAGAGAGTAACGGAGGAATAAAATTCTTGTTTATCACGCAAAGGGCTTGGAAGGTTGGGTGTGTAACTCAGTTAACAGAATGCTTGTTGAGCATGCATGAGCCACTGGGTTCAGTCCCCAGGACCCCACAAACCAGGGGTGGTAGTATGCACCTGTAACTGCAGCACTCAGAAAGTAGAAGGATCCTGAGTTCCAGGTCATCCTCAACTCCATGGGGAGTTGGAGGCCATGCTAGTGTGCTATGTAAGACTTTGTCTCAAAATAAAGGGGAGGGGGACATCTTGGAAACTCTCCCAACCCACAGACACGAGAGACTGAAGAAAAGCAGAGTAGATGCTGTGGGTCACGAGAAATGACAGTCACCTACAACAAGTTAAAACAAGCTGACTGTGGTGGAACTTGCCTTGAATCCCAGCACTCGGGAGGCAGAGGCAGGCAAATCTCTGTGAGTGTGAGGCCAGCCTGGGCTACAAAGTGAGTTCCAGGACAGCCAGAACTACACAGAGAAACCCTGTCTCAAAATGAGAAAGGAAGAGAGACAGACAGACAGACAGACAGAGACAGAGACAGAGACAGGTAGAGGGGCAGGATTAAAACACCAGGCTGGGACTATTGATGAATCAACAGGTAAAAGCTGACAACGTGAGTTCTGAGTTTGACTCCTGGCACCCATATGGTAGAAGGAGAAAACTGATTGTCCTCTTGACTTGCACATTAGCTGCATGGCACATGTACACCCTTATGCACATAGATAGATAGATAGATAGATAGATAGATAGATAGATAGATAGATAGATATAGATAGATAGAGCTAGATAGACAGATAAACAGATGATAGATAGAAAAACATAATAGATAGATAGATAGATAGATAGAGCTAGATAGCTAGATAAACAGATGATAGATAGATAGATATAGATAGACAAATAAATAAACAGATGATAGATAGATAGATATAAACAAATAGATAAACAGATGATAGATATAGACAAATAGATAAACAGATGATAGATAGATAGATATAGACAAATAGATAAACAGATGATAGATAGATATAGACAAATAGATAAACAGATAGATAAATAGAGCTAGATAGATAAATAGATAAACAGATGATAGAGAGAGAAAAACAGATGATAGATAGATGATAGATAGAGCTAGATAGATAGATAAACAGAAGATAGGTAGAGAGATAAACAGATGATAGATAGATAGATAGATAGATAGATAGATAGATAGATAGATAGATAGTAGGCAGGCGGGTGGGTAGGTAGGTAGATAAATGGGAAATTGTTCTAAAAACCTCCAAGCTATACCAGATGTGGGGTGCAAATTCACATGCCAGCCATTCACAGACCTAAAACCAGAAGCCCTGGCAGCAGCAAATGTGGAATCCCACTGGAGACCTAGAAAAGCCTAAGTGGCCACAGGATCTGAGCTGTTCAAAGCTGGTTTTAGGAAGAACCCCGAATGAGCTGGCCAGGAGAGAGATGGCATAGCCACAGGTCTCTGGGGACAAGAGCTAGCTGAGGGTCACTCTACAAGGGGCACCCAAGTCAGTGGGAGCAGAAACAAGCAGATGAGAAACTGAGACAAGCAGATCGGTAGGTAAAGGAAGGTAAGGGCATGGCCTCTCTTGGTCCCTGGGTGACATTTGCAACTGGTTAACTCAGCTGGGGAGAGCCCCCACACTAATGAGGCTAACGTGTTATGGGTTTGATCCCTGTGTGGGTCCTGAGCTCTGCTTTCGTCCGTGGCCTGAGACTGAACTGAACTCCTAACTTTATCCAGCTGTTTTGCAGATGTATGTCATTGGTCACAAGGGGGATCAAGGGGCAGAATTGTTGGAAGTGTACACAATAAACAAAGCTACTGACAATCATGGGAAGAAGTAGAAACAGTTGGCCAGCCCCTGAACTAATCCCTCATCTAGAAGAAAAACAACTTGAGGTATACGCCTCTTGAGAAATTTGCCAGGAACACGGCGTTTGCACATAAGGATCAGCACGTATGAAGGCAGAAGAGGAGAAGAGCAATTTAGATTTGGGAGGGGCTCCCAAGCTAGTAGAGTCTGCAAACTAACAAAAGAGACACTTGGGACATACGAGCCCTGAATCGTGAATGATGCTGTTCCATTCTGAGGTCCCTTTTGATTTCTCAAGTTCCAGTATCATATGAAATTATTCAGCTCCAAGTTCCTCATTTGAAAGTTTGGCTTACCTTGAAAGTCAGCTATATTAAGTGGTTTCTAACTACACACAGCACCAAATTGCATTGTGGAACAAATATACGTTATAAGGAGTCATGATAAATGAGTGGAAATATTTGGTTAACCTTGGAAATAACCGCTTGACTGCTTGCCTGGAGTAAATGGCATTTTACTCTGGGCTAGGGATTCCAATGGAGGAGAAGGTTGAATTACAAGGACTGGAAAGGCTGCCATCATATCATGGCTTTCTTTAGAAGGCTGCTGGAGAAGGGTGTCTGCAGGGAAAACTGCAGCTGTGTTTCACAGGCACAGGGGCGCTGATGGGGGTTCAAAAACCAGTGGGGAAGGGATAAAAGTGCACACCGGTTAGCCCCTCTGCGAAGCGATACCGTGCTGAAGTTGGATGTAAGAGAGAGAGGTTACAAAAGAGAGCAAGCAGAGAGTGTTGGCCTTCAGCTGCTGGGAAACACTTACAGCTTCCAAGGAATGGTAAGAGCCGTAGTTGAAGTTATCCCCACTCCGCTCTTGCCCTTCACTGTGCTGCATTTCTTCATCTTCGTTATCTAAAAGGGCCTTAAAAAAAAAAAACCAGACACAGCAACATGGTGAAGGGATCCGCTGGAGACAGAGGTTCATCTGGGTAGATGGGCTGGCCAAGATGGCATCCCCCTCAGGGTAGCAAGCAACACACATGTCCAAGGTCTAACGGGGCTAGAGCATTTAAGTGATACAAGCCGAAGATTACAGTTCCAGAGAATGAAAGTTCATGCTGCATATATCCAAAGTGTCTTCAATCTGAACTACATAGCATTCTAATGCTGCTAATTCCCAAAGGGTTTACATTAATTCTGTGGGGTAAGACAATGGAATTATCTGGGTTCATTTCTGCTTAAGGTCTTTATTCCTTAACATTCTTGGTTCTGTTGAAACTTTTTCAGTACATAAAACTAGTGCAGGGTTCATACCCAGAAGAAGAGCTCTCTATAATTATGTGTGTTGATCATCACAGTCAGTGTGACACAATTAAAAATAATAAACTATCCTGTCTTTCATTTTAAAAAAGGAGGGAGGGTCAGATTTTTTTCCATATATCTATAAAACTTTACTTTTTAATATCCGATTTACATTATCCCATTCAAAATCCACTTGCTCCCTGGAAGTAACATATGCGCGATTCAGTTTTTCTATAGTATGAAATCTCTAGACATCAGCCTGCATCTGGTATCCAGTACCTCTGAAACCCACAGCTTGGGAAACCATTCAGAAACAAAGAAATTCTTATAACCACTCATACTTTGAAGGTTCTTGGCAGATGTCTGTGACATGTGAGGATGATTAATAAGCTCACAGCTGTTCACACCATCAGGAAAATCCTGGGCCAAATCACCAATTAGTCCATAACCTACCTCGATGAAGGAGAGAGCGTTAGTCAGGGACACTGTCCTGCTGTTCAATGTAGGATGTAGGGCTGGATGGCGATGTTCCCTCTGCTGGGAGCTATTGGTGACATTCCCCCTTTCTCAAAAAACACCTATTCTGATCGGTTCCCAGCACCCCCCCCCACACACACACACATACACACACACACTTGCTTTTAACTTCATATAAGAAAAGGGGGAAGCATCTAACGTGTCAACTGCTGTTAGATGTACTATATACAGTTAATAGAAGCATCGTCTCGATGAATAGTTGAAGTAGGAATCGTCACCGTTTTAGCAACGATGAAATGGAGGCCCATGAGGGTAAACGCTTGCCCAAGGACACAGGCTAGTGGTTAGCAAAGTCAAGACTTAGGTGAAGATCTGTGCAGCTAGCGGCCTATCTTTATGGCACACTCACCCTGTAACAAGTTATTAACCTCTGCTTCCCTTGGTCTCAATGTCTTCACCTGGGGAGGTGAAAAAGGATGACCCTGGCCACTTTTAAATCTCCCAGGTCTACTCTAACTGGTGGCTTCATCTTATGCAAGACTGGCAAGAGAGCCTGGCCTACCCACCTGTAGGTCTTCAATTGTCACTGAGTAGTCTAAGCCCTGAGACTTCAGGAAGGACTTGACTGGCAGCAGGCTGACTGAGGGGACAAGGATATCCACCGGCCGATCAAAAGTGGAGGGAGATTTCCAGACATTGAGCTAAGGCGAACAGAAACACAATCAGGTTAAAAGACAGTCCGGGTAAAACATGAAATGAGCTCATGTTCTTCAGAACCACTGTCAAAAGCCAGGGTGATCCCCATGTCCTGCCCAAGGATGAACATCGCCCATTTCACAGGCATATCTGGTCAGACATGCCCAGCATTCAGTACCTAATAAAGTTCAAGGAACACTGAGGGCTACAAGAAGTAGGGAGGCCACGGCTTAGGCCTCCCATCTAACAGCACAGCAACACTGAGCTCTGCAGGCCTACACCACCACCAGCACCACCAGCACCATCACCAGCACCACCACCACCACCACCACCACCAGCACCACCACCACCACCACCACCACCACCAGCATCCCTCTGGCTCGTGTGAATGGCATGTGAACTCATACTCCATTATGAACAGAAAACTCACAAGGATAAAAAACAAATACAAGGACTGTGTCGCCTTCAGACTTGGAACATTCCAGAGGGTGAAGAGAATCACGTACCTTAAAGCGGTCTGAATTCACTAGCTGAGTCAGTTTTCTGATCTCGTCTCCATTTCTGACATTAATCCTAAAAACTTGGTCCCTGGAAAAGGGGGGAGAGTAGAAGATAATGGTAAGTTTTCAGCTGGCAAGTAGACCCCCAAACCCACCATCCCAGACAGGGCTGTGCTGATGGAAGGAAATGGTCTAGTCTTTGGTTATAATGTATAGCCATTAAAAACAAGACTATGTGGCAAGGATGAAAAAGTGCTTATGTATAACTTTAAGGGGACTATTAAGCGAAAGAGCAGGACACAGAATTGTATGTATGCCATGATTCTGAGGATGGAAAAAGCAGATGGGCTGGAAGGAAAACAGACAACGGAAATAGAGCAAAGGCTGCCAGTGCTCGTTTGGGTCGTGGGATTATGGATGGCTTACTTTTTCCCCTCCTGTATCTGTTTTCTGTAATGTGGTCATATTACTTTATAATGAAAAACATATATATTTTTGCAGAAAGGAATGTCCCTGAGTTAGGCTCCAGGCTAACTCAAGACATAAAGAAACACTTCTTCACTGTCAAAGGCGAGGGCTGAAACCCCGACGGAACCTTCATGCCTGGAAGAGCTGGGAACTTTTGGGAACAGACCCTCTATCCTGGGAAGGCCAGGATGAGAGCACTAACCGTGTCCCCCAGCCCCACGCGTGTGCTTGACAATGGAACTGGGTGGGACTAGGGTATGAGGCTCAACGTGAGCCTCATGGCTGCCTACCGGGCCCTGAGGGCGCCCGGAAGAAGCCCCCTTTGTCGCCCGGCCTGCACTCTGTCCTGTGCATGAATCAGCTTCTGCAGCGTCGGCAGGGGAAGAGGCCCCCGAGCCCTGCGTGGGTGGGAGAAGGCTAGGCCTGAAAAGCCTTCTTTGAGCTCTCAGCTCGCTTGGAGAGCCAGCGGACCCATTAGGCGTTGCTAGGTGACGGCCCAAATGAATCCGCACTCGACTCTGTCACGTGCGTCATCCCTTTGCCATGAGTGAATGCTGGAGGAGCTGCTGGAGAGGGATGTGGGCTGAAGGACCTGTTGACAGAGTAAATGGCTCTGTCACAGGGAACAAAATGTGAGGCTCACGTGGAGGCTCCTTACCAGAAAACCGGTTCAATCCGGATGGACTTCCGGAATTTCACTTAGTTTTGGAAAGTTCCGGGAAGACCTAGGCCAGGACCTAAAGACAAGGCTCACCGTAGAGCTGTTCTCAGCGCAGGTGGCTGGGCTGGATAAGATGCCAATACCCAAGGCTCACCTCCTTTCACCCTAGCCCTCCTCCTGGTTTCCTGGAGGCTGCAGCTAACAACATCCCATGAAAACTGCGGCGGACCCTAGAGGAAGCCAAGTTTGGCACTCTCCGATGAACCCGCTATGGTTCAGATATGGTTTGACCATGCCCCAAGGATTCAGATCCTGCAAGTCTGATCTCCAGTTGAAAGGTAGCAGGCTTTAAGGGGTGGGGTCTAGTGGGCCCTTGGAAGTTGCTTTTGTAGAGTCAGTTCCTAAGAAAGTAAGTTTAAAAGACTGAGCAAGGCACCCGTCTTGCCACATGATCTCCCCTTCTCACACATGCTACCTCCATAATGCCACACACAGGAGCCCTCGCCAAAGGCAGAACAGACAGAGCTACCCAATCTTGGACTTTTAGCTTCCAAAGCTACAAGTGAAATAAATCTTTTCTCTTTGTATGTTATCTAGTGTGACAGTTAACAATAATTATTAACCTGACAGGACTTAGAATTACCCAGGAGACAAGCCTCTGGGCACATCTGTGAGGAACTATATAGGTTAGGTGGGAAGAGACAACCTAAAGGAGGCGGCCTTACTCCCTGGGCTTAGGACCTGGACTGAACAAAAATAGAAATGTAGCTAAGCACAGGTACTCATTGCTCCCTTCTATGGGTGCCAGTGACCAGCTGCTTCAAGTCCCTTCCACCATGACTATCCGTTATAATGGACTACATCCTCAAACTGTGAGCCAAAATAAGCCCTTCCTCCCTTAAGTTGATCTTGTCAGAATATTTTATCACAACAGAGAAGTAACTCTGTTTCAAGGATTTTGTTATAGCAACAGAAAGTTGACTAATACATAACCCAATGGACCTGCAAAGAGTTGGACTACAGCCCAGGGAAGATGGAGTATCAAACTACCATTTCTCTGTCACAGGCAAGCAGCCTCGAAGAGGGTTCAGTGGAGAGTAAACACTTCTAACTGAGGACAAAGACCAGTTTGACAAATGCACACCCTGTAACCACCATCTCTAACACTCCAGAAAAGGGGGTATCTTTAAGATGAGCATGCTAGAGGCCAGAGAGACAGTTTGGCAGTTAAGAGCATGTACTGTTCTTGCAAATGACCCAAGTTAGGTTCTCAGCACCCACAGTTGACTGGCTCACAACTGCCTGTGACTCCAGTCCCGGGGTATCTGATGCCTCTGGCTTCCTTGAGCACTCACATGTACATACACAGACACATAATTAAAGTTAATAAAAGTGTTCTTTTTTCAATGCACATGCTAGAAGGATTGGCATCTTGGGTGGCAAAATTAGGCCTTTGCAAAATAACACTGGCTAGAGTGGCCACAGAGAAAGGGGGTGGCAGAGAAGGAACGGGGAAGGAAAGGACAGCTGAAGGACTCTTTGGAGTATGAAGAGTAGATGGCACATCGATCCAGGCCGTAATGTGTGCACGTGTCCCTTTCTCCAATGTGGTGATGTCACAGCAGAACTTGCATGCTCCCAAGCACAGTCCATGACAATGGAACGCAGTGACCTTACTGGCCCTGGAAAGGATTGAGTTCACAGTCCATCCTATCATGTTCTAATGAGCCAAGCTACCAAGGTCAAAGACACAACATCTGTAGTGTGCAGGAAGAGGCAAGGCGGAAGATCTGGTACAGAATGGGGCACCTTCCCCATCTCTCCCCCACCTTTGCATACCTCCTTGGTCCCAGCTCTCCTGGAATTGCATGTTCATTCCATGCAATTGCCTTTATGTGCCTTTGCACATGGTGTTCCCTCAAGTGCCTGGTAGTCTCCCACCTAACCTTCAGGACAAGGTCATGTGACTCAGGAAGCTTTCCCTAACCAAAGCTTGGTACAATAGCACTAAAAATTGGTAGTGGTGGGAGAGTAGGGTCTGCCATTATCCTTACGAACATCAGCACAGTAACGTCTAAAACCAGTGGGTGTCATGTGAAGGGCAAACTTTTTCCTGCTGTCATTGACCTTATCTCTGTTTGGAAGATATCTTTGTCAGCTCCTAACAATGCAGATGGTTGAGCTCACCCCATCTGCACTAGCTGGAATTCCGCTCAAAGACCTTGACCTTGAGTTCTTTTTGGAGATAGAAAGTGACCTCGGTGAAGGGAAATGTTGGGATTCGCAGGTGCTTGTCTGCCCCTCCTGTTATGTGTGGCTGTTTTAACAGCTCTTTGGCTCTCTTCAACTCCCAGTACACCAAGATGTCTTTAGCATCATAGTTGGTGACGTCTGCTCATTCACCCTCACACCTGTCCCATGCTCAGGACAATCAATAATTGTTTTGACAGCTTCCATTCCTCCCCTATTACTGGAAAGACAGCTAAGTGGTCGGCTCTCTGTGCCTTTCTCGCCTATATCCCTGCCCAAGCTTAGCAGCTATGACTGATAGTATTCAGAGATGGCCTCAGGAAACCCTGGGATGCTTGCCAGCTACCACTGACACGACAACCAGTTCTGCAGCTCCTTCCTGCTCTCCACCTGCCCAACACCTCCACCTATCCTGGTCACTGTCTCATCCTTAAGATATCTGAAAACTAGGACAGGTGATACCAGCAGAACAAGAGAGACTAGGGAGCTAGGAGAACCATGTCGCAAGGGCAGGGGATAGGGTGGTAGGGAGAAACCACCATCTTGTGTCCGTTAACCAGTCTCCAGCCTGGCTTCCCAACCATTCAGATGCTCAGAGGCCAGCTGCCCTGCACCCTCTACATTCACTGAACTGGGTGTCTGGGACATGCTGATGGATCCCAGCAAAGATTCTTCTACCTTTACTGAGGCACCTATGATGAAGTAAGAACAGACTTGGAGATGACATGGCATGGTTTGATTAAAACCGTTTGTCATCAGCTCCAGCACACGGCCCTTTGTGTGCACAACTCCTGCAGTGAATACTCTAGAACCCGGCCCCATTGTCTCAGCTCAGGTGCCCACTGAATCACAAGAAAGGTCTATATCCTGAAAAATAGAGATTTTCCAGCCACATGAATAACTGCAGCGGGAGCCTGACAGCTCCATGCGTCAGCCCACACAGCAGCGAGTGTAGTCATCACACACCTACTGCTGGGCTGCCTGCAGAAAAATCTTCCTCCCTGGCCACCTGCTATGCCTAACCCCTCCGAGCTATTTGGCAGCAGAGGCAGGTATGAACCATCATCCCCATAAAAATGACTCAGTCCCATGTAAGTAATTGCTTCCATAAACAATCCTCGGGTCCCTTTAGCCAGATAATATAACAGAGAATAAACTCCTCACATATCCAGGTAGACCAGCGAGATAGAGGATTCCATTTGACTGACCTCTGTTACAGAAAAAGGGTATAAGCTTTGCATTCAGCATTCCAGCTTCCCCGCTTATAAGCTAAGTAGCTTTGGGCAGGTTCCTTAACCTTTTTAAGACAAGGGTTTTTTTTCATGTTTAAATTGAGGAAAATAACACGCTTGCCTGACAGAGCTGTTACATGATCCACAAGACAATGCACACGAAAGCTCTTTGCAAAAGGCCAAGTGTTATGTGGTGATGAGTTATTCTAATACAGTCTTCTACCTGGGTACCAGAGCATCCCTTCCATCTCCCTGCCTCCTCTCCGATGTCCTATCCTCCATCAACTCCACAGTTTTCTGTGTAGAGCATGTGGAGCCTATGCGCGCACACACACACACAGAGTCCTGGTGTGCATTGCCATAGCTATAGCTAGGCAAGACCTATCTGACCTCCTTGTTCCAGAAGCCTTTGAGAAAGCACCAGCGATACCCAGGCTTCACCACTGACACGGTATCTGTCCCCAAAGTCTGTGGCCCAGCTTTTCCCTTTAAGCCTGGCAAAAACCTGACAAAGTCTTTCTGGCCATCCTTCCTAGTTAATAGTGAAGGAAATGCCTAGAAGTGACCTTAGAAAGAAGGAGGGGGAAATACAGAATTAGCAGGAGATTGGGGAGCTGGGGAGGGCCTTGGGACACCACTAGCTTTGGTTTCACTGAAGAAATCAGGTTTCAGAGAGAAGTGGCTGGTTCAGGATGACAGGGACAGAAGAGATCTAAAAGCCCAGGTCCTTCCCCTAAGCTCTACCACCTAAAGTATAATCACTCCATTTGGCTCCCGAATTGCTGAAATAACTAAATAATGATAATAAAGTTCAAAAGAAACTCACCCAAAGAATTTATCTCGGCCACAGATGCCTGACCCAACAAGGGCCCCAAAGAACAGTAACCACCTCATGTCCCACGGGTGCCAGTCACATACTGACTGAGTCAAGCTGTATTTATAAGGAGCCTGAGGCAGACTCACATCCTCAAAAATGCTAATATGGTTCTCCAGCATCCTTCCAGCTCTGACAAGGCAGGCCCCAGCCAAGGCCTCCTCCATTCCTTTCTAGTGATGAAGGCCCAGCCTCCATTTGCAAGGCAGGAACTTGCTCCACAGGCTGGGAACGTCTTACCCAGGGTGCCACATTGCTCATCACTTGGCATCTACGTGGTGTTTTTTGAGTAAATGGAAAGATCCCACACCGCCGGTTGGAATTCATACTGATAAGAGAGGCCAGTTTGTAAACCTGGGATGGTGTTACCTCTAGAGTGATAAAAAACTGTTTGGAAAGTGAAGGCTATCATATCAAGGAACCTTGAGCCAACTCCAAGACCACACACTTAAGAAGCCTGGCAAGAGAATTCAGCAGAGCAGATCACAGGGAGAGTTCACGGGTCTAGGGCCTAATTCTTAGGATTCCATTCAGAAAAGAGGAATGTGGGGGGTAAACAGTCTAGGAAGGATGTGTTATTCTGAATACATTAACAGTTTTCCTTGGGATCTAAATGACAGATAAGGCTTGATGATATTTGTTTTGAATTTATTTTTTAATTTTTATTATATATTTATGTGTATGTATGTGTGCCTGTGTGAGTTTACATAGACCATGTATGTGTGTAAGTACCTTCCAAACTCAAAAGAGAGCATCAGATCCCATCAGATCCCACCAGATCCCATCAGATCCCCTGGAACTGGAGCTATAAGCAGTTGGAAGCCACCATGTGGGTACTGGGAATCAAACCCAAGTCCTCTGCAAAAGTAGATGCAATCTTGATCTCTGAGTCATCCCTCCAGTCCCACAGTTTCTACTTATTTTTGTTTTTGATACATGAGCTCACTTTGTATTCCAGGTTAGCCTTGAACTCACAATCTGCCTGCTTCAACCTCCCAGGTGCTGGGATAACAGGCCTGAGCCACGAAGCCCAGGGTTTGTTTGTTTTTTTTTAAACATGGTCTCTTTATAGTACTAGCTGTTCTGGAACTTACTATGTAGACCAGGCTAGCCTCAAACTCACAGAGATCCTCCTGCCTCTGCCTCTCAAGCACTGGGATTAAAGGTGTGTGCCACCATGCCCGTACTCAAACCCAGCTCTGATCAAACTAAATAATAAGTCTTCCTAGGGTTTTGCTACCCTGTGAGTGTGGAGTCAGTAGAGTAAGTGAACACTATTCATGACATCCATGGCTTATTTTCAGGCATATATGGCTTTGTCCCAGAAACCCCAATTCATCCCCTCCCACTGTCCCCATGCACTCATCCTTTCCACACCTGCTGAGGGGTAGTACATAGAACCAAGGTCATGGCTGGGAGTGCTGAAATTTATTCTGACACTTGTCAAACAGTAAGGAAGACGGTATGGAAATCGTTGCCATGGAGACCATGACTATAGTAGTAGGAGGGGCTAGTTTTCTCTCAAGGCCAAAGGCAGCAAAGACAGCAGGATGAGGGAATCAGTAGATGGAAATTTACTAAGAGGAAGCATCAAGGGAGAGGGATTCTTACTAAGTTACCCTAACAGGAATCTTGCTAAAGGCAGGTCAAGGATACATCATCATGAACAGTGAGGGATGAGGAAGTTAATCATATCTCCATAGATGGGGATAGTATGACTGGCCATGTCTTTGTTAATACTGGTTCTGACAGGGCCCAAGAACCAACCTAATAAAAAGAAAGAGGAGGAGGAGGAGGCACTGAGTCCCAAGGGGAGCCTCCATCAGATAGAGCAGAACTGGGGACCCTATCATCTCTTCCTGTCTCAGAGCTCTGTCAGCCCAACACTTAAACTGAACCCACACCGCCCTGTACCCCGCAGAGGCGGGGCTCTAGCTCACACCAAGACAGAGTTGAAGTTAATAGTAAAAGAAACAAAGACTGGAACCAGCTAGAAGCACGATAAAAAGAACAATTTAGTTCTAGATCCAGAGTTCTAGATGCTGAAACCCACTTTCCACTGTCTCCCAAGAAACAAATCTATAGATAGATAGATAGATAGATAGATAGATAGATAGATAGATGGATGGATGGATGGATAGATCTAAACCACGAATGGACGTGCATATCTAAAGAGAATTTGTGTGCAAGCTAAGAGGCCAACTTAAGTGGGGCACGAGGCAGCAAGACCAAAGAATACACGGGAGCCAGATGCCCAGCACCTTTGTTGATTAGCATTGAGTGACTGAAGGAACTCAAATCCATTGCTAACTCTGAAACGCTGCACTGTTTAAAACAGTGGATGGCATATCAGATATCCTGCATCAGAGATATTTACATTCTGAATCTTTTTTTTTTTTTTTTTTTTGGAGCTGAGGATCGAACCCAGGGCCTTGCGCTGGCTAGGCAAGCGCTCTGCCACTGAGCTAAATCCCCAACCCCTACATTCTGATTCTTAACAGTAGCAAAATTACAGTTACAAAGTAGCAATGAAATAATTTTATGGTTGGAGGGTCACCACAATATGAGGAACTGTATTAAAGGGTCTCAGCATTAGGAAGGTTGAGACCCACTTGTTTAAAATAAAGGGGCTCAGCTTTATTTTAAACATGATAGTCATGTCTGAAACCTGAAATTATAGCATTTGACATACTGAGACAGGAGAATCACCTGTACTACTTCGTGAGACCCTAACTCAAAAAAAAAAAAAAAAGAAAAGAAAGAGAGAGAGAGAGAGAATGAAAAAAAAGATTGACACTTGCTACAGCATTGATGAGCCTTGGAAATATTTCCCTGTGTGAAATCAGCCCCACATAGAATGATGAATGATATGGGATCTCGGTTCCATGAGGTACCTGCTCTAGCAAAACTCATAGACAGAAAGCACAATAATGGTTAGAACAGGTTGGGGGGAGGCAATGTCAATTTACCAATTAATGAGTGAGCAAGCATTTCAATTTGAGACGATCTGAAAGAGTTCTGGAGATGGATATTGGTGATAGTAGCACAGCATAGTAAATACACTTAATACTATTGAGTTGTACACTTAATATTAATGAATTGTACCCTTAAGAATAATCAAGGGGCAGCCGGGCGGTGGTGGCGCACGCCTTTAATCCCAGCACTTGGGAGGCAGAGCCAGGCGGATCTCTGTGAGTTCGAGGCCAGCCTGGGCTACCAAGTGAGTTCCAGGAAAGGCGCAAAGCTACACAGAGAAACCCTGTCTCGAAAAACCAAAAAAAAAAAAAAAAAAGAATAATCAAGGGGCAAACATCATGGCTTATGCCTTTAATCTCAGCACTTGAGAGACAGAGGCAGGTGGATCACTGTGAGTTCAAGGCCAGTCTGGTCTACATAGAGAGTTCCAGGACAGCAAGGGATACATAGAGAGACCTTGTCTCAAAAAAAAGAATGACCAAGGGCCAACTCTCCCTTGAGGAGCCCACGCTACGCTGGTCTCTCGTACTTTGGGGGATTTTTCTTTGGAAAGCCTATATCCAAACTCTTGGGTATATCTTCCTTTCTTCTGAGTTCTTCTCATTCTCTTTCTTTTTAAAAATTTTTTTTATTTGATTTTATATGTGTGTTTGCCTACATGGATGTCTGTGTACCATACCTGCCCTGGTACCAGTGGAGGTTAGAAGAGGGCACCAGATGCCCTGGAACTGGGGTTGCAGATGGTGTGAGCCACCACATGGCTGGGAGTCAAACAGGGGGTCTCTGCAAGAGCAGCCATGCTCTTAACTGCCGAGCCACGCCTCTAGCCCCACGTCCCTTTCCCTTAACCCTCATGCTTAACCTAAATATTAAAATATTTTTGTTAGCCTCTCCCCCTCCAAGATTTTCAAGAGCTGGGTGTGGTAGCATGTGCCTGGATCCCAGCACTTTAGAGGTAGAGACAGGAGGCTCAGGAGTTCAGGCCCAACCTCAAGTACATAAGACACTGTCTGAAAAAAATAAAACAACAGATTTTTATCATGTATAAGTGACCACAGTAAAAAAAAAAATTAAAGGGTGTTGGGAACAGTTCCCTTAGAACAGGTTAAAGAAAAGGACACGGTACAACACAGGGACTTGTGGCTTTGGGACAACAGAAACTGGAGGAACAGGAGCTGAGAATGAAGCTCAACGGGGAAGTGCTCACCTAGCAAGGGCAAGTCTCTGGGTTCAAATCCCAGTCCCACCAAAAAGGAAAAGAAAAAAGAAAGGAAATACCCTTAACTACTGTTTCCAGATGAAGGAATAATCAGAAGCCGGTTTTGCTGTACACCACAGAGACTTTAATGGTGTTTGTCTAATAGGGGTGGTCTCGTACATGCTCCATGATGGTCTTCAGGCCAAGCCAGGTCTCTTCTGCTGTGGGCAAGATCTGCTTGGCTGGCAGGAGGAAGCCATAGAAGCCTGTGTCCCTCAGTTCAAAGGCAAAGGAGTATTTGATGCCAAAATCATAGGCCCAGTCGATGCTTCCGCCACTGGCTTGGTCTGAGGGGCAAATGGAAATGAAATCTGATGACACTGTTTCCATTGACCTCTGGCATGATCAAAGATAAACCAGGCCCTCTAAGCATGGACTAGAGGAACAGATAGAGTCTATGAGGGGTTCATGCTTATGACAGAAAAAAAGCACAAGCGTAGTATGTTCAAAAACGAAAAAGGTGTTCAAGTGGACACTGGATTTAGCCCTTCTTTGGTGTCATCGTGGAGCTTCCAACTTTATTTACCCATCTCGAACTTTGCTTAATGCCCTAATTGGCATCTCCCCCAGCTTAGGGAGGCCACGTCATTTCCTTCTTTAGAAGGCACACACATTGTTTTCTCTAGTGGGATAGAACGGATTACAAATTAAGTGAGTGACTTGGTCCCTGGCCTCAGGGGACTCTCAGCATGAGGATGGAGCAAGCTCTTACGTGATGTCGAATCACATGCCCAGTGCTAGGGATCATGGGTAAGCCAGTAGAGTGCTATGCACCTGTGTTAAGTC